CATAAGCTGGGCATCCTGTTATCAGATCCATTGGCAACCGAAGTTCCCGACCAAACATCAGCTTTGCTGGAGTGTATCCAGTGGTTTCATGCTCTGCTGTCCTATAGGCCATCAATAGTGGAGGGAGTAAGACATCCCAATCATCTTGGTGGCTATTACAAAACTTTGCCAATTCCTGTCCCAGTGTCCAGTTGTACTTTTCTACCATCCCATCAGACTGTGGGTGAAGTGGCGTTGTCCTGGTCTTTCGGATGTCAAACAGCTTGCAGCATTCTTGGAACACAGCTGATTCAAAGTTACGGCCTTGATCTGAATGCAGTTCATATGGCATACCAAATATGAAGAAGAAATCACTAATAGCCGAAGCTACAGTTGTAGCTTCCTGATTTGGTATTGCATATTCCTCAGGCCACTTGGTGAAATAATCCATCACCACACAAATGTACTTGTTTCCAGCATGAGTTTGGGGCAAAGGACCAGCAATGTCGACGGCTACTCTTTCCATTGGTGTACCAACTTCTTATAACTTCATTGGAGCACGTCCCTTATGCTTGGGTCCCCTTTTAGCACAACATGTACTGCATGTTCTGCACCATCCTTCCACATCTTGTCTCATACCTATCCAGGAAAATCTGTGTCTTAGGTGACTCAATGTTTTCTTAACTCCGAGATGTCCTGTTACAGTATCATGAGATTGACGCAACACAACTTCCCGTAACTTTCTCGGTATAACTGTTTGCCAGGTCGTCACTTTCCCATCTGCAGTTTCTCATCTCTGGAGAAGAATACCATCTTCAAGCCTCAACTGGTCCCATTGTGCCCAATAGTTTTGTCAGAGGGCTTAGACTAGACACCTTCTCCCAAGCAGGGCGCAAAACACTTATTTTTAGGAAATCAATCAAGGTTTCAAATCTTGGACTTTCTCCTGTTCTGCCTTGATATCTATATTTGGTTCCACTTCACCATCACCAACTCTTTCAGTCGGCTTGACTTCAGCTTGATGGCACCTGGTTAGTTCAACCTCTCTTTTGTAGCAATGTCTGCAGTCATTTTCGCATTTTCCATGAGATTTTCCCTCTCTGTATTCAATATCATAATTATACTGGTCTATTTTTCCGATCCAACGTGCTAGT